AACCTTCCCCCTATGACCACCACGAGAGCCATATAAGCACTGTCGGTACTTGACTGTCAATGTGCTGGCCCGACGGTGAATGACCGACAACAACTGTTTGACGAAACGACTTTTTAAGGAAGGAACTATGGACAAGACTAGTGGCAACGTAATAGTTACAAGGTTTGGCTAATTTTCCCGAAGAAGTGCGCTTTTTACCCGGTGCATTTTCGGTCTTATGTTTTGCTATTGCACCAAGAATCTCTTCGGTAGACCGTGGGCCGAGGTCGACGTTGTACAAGAATGCGTTAACCTTTTCACACTAAAGTCTGTTTGAAGGAAACTATTCTATTAGATGCAAGAGCACCTTCTACTGGTGAAGCTGATGCACCAGTGACGCTTTTATGAGAAGACGGACATCTCTAGTCATCAAGATGAAGAAATCATAGGGGTGCTTATCTTCAAGACACAGAAGTCGCCTGCTTTTCAGTTCAATGAAGAGCGTTCAAGATCCCTGGTAGTGTTACTACAGAACTCAGTCTGTTCAGGTATATGTGGCATTCGGCCTCCCAACATAAGTATATTAAGCCTGAACTGATGGAAGGTGAGTGGTTATAAGCCAATCGGGTCCTCCCACGGTATACAGAGCGTCGTGGCTAGTTAGAGCCTACTTCCTCTATAGTACAGTTCAGTGCCACACCAGCGCTTTGACTAAAGAAATCTCTGCTTTCCTCGTCAGCGTAGTAAGTCTGTCGGAGATAATTCAGTGTCGAAAATCATGTTTTCATGGCAGCATATAACCTAAACATAACCGAAACCTTCTAAGAGCATCACTAGAGCCGTTCCCACAACCATTGTCCAGGTTGGATATCACGCGAAGTTAAACACAGACCTAAGCTAGAGCGCTCATGCAAATACGTAATCTGACCTCGTGTAGATGTAAATACAAAGCAAAAATCTATTACATGTCTGCTGTGACGACGGCAAAACATGTAAATCGGGAAAAAAGGAAAAGGTGGTTTTAACTACTGCGACAGTTTCGAGTTGCGCAATAACGAAGGGTGTACGATGCAAACACAGCGCAAGTCTCGTTTGCGGTAGGTAAATTGCATGTGATTCCAGGGTGTTTACACGTATGTAACTATGTAATTTCATTATAAAAGCTTCCATCATCAGAGGATAAACGAAAAATTTACGACGTCGACCGCATAACTAGGACACTT